CACCCCCCCCGTCTCGGGTGCATTAGAATCCTCACACACAGATATTGTCACCCATGTTCTCTGCTGGTGTTTTTCTCCATTTGCATTTGTTTTTTCCTCACGTCTAGAGGTGGAGAGTCTCATCTCGGACTCGGCTCCCCCCAGAGCTCTTCTGCAGTGTGTGAAGAACGGTGGCAGTGAGAGATGTTTCATCAACTGCCAGTCCCTCGTGTACTCCGTTCCTGGTGAGTGTGAGAGCTCAGGGGCGCTCGATGGGCACCTCTAGGGACATAACAAGCTTTGTGCGAGGCTTCCTAAGGAAGAGCTCCGATAACCAAAGCTGCCCACATTATCCTTTAAAAAGTAAACGACTTCCAAGACGAGATCAATAAGCCACATTGAGAAACTCACCGGGTCTGTCTGAGCTGACCAGTCGACGTGCACAGAGAGAGTGGAACTGCAAAAAACAAGTACCTAGCTCCTACACATTTAGTAAGGCCAATGGCTGCCTTGTGTACATGTAGAGTTAAAGTACCATTAAAGTGACATTAAACCCTCAGATTTTTGAACACAAACCAATACTGTAATGTGCGCCTCACTGTAATCCATGGTAGTTTCCCTTCTCTTTCCTGCTCTTCCTTTTAAATCCGTCTCTCTTCTCATGCTGGGGGAGAACTTCCCTTTGCAGCTGAGCGCCTCTTCCTGTAGTGCTGGCCCAGGTTGCAAACCTATACACAGACACCATGTAGCCATTCCAGAGACAAGGCAGTCTGCTGCAAAACAGAAGTTCTCCCCCAGCATGAGAAGAGATAAGGATTTAAAAGGAAGAGCAGCAAAGAGAAGGGAAACCACCATGGATTACAGTAAGGCGCACATTACACTATTGTTTATGTTAAAAAATCTGAGGGTTTAATGTCACTTTAAGTAAAAAACACACGGCTGAGATTTACATTGAACTGATCCCATCTACAGGGAGAGCTAATAAACTGTTAATGCCGAGAGCAGTTGGCACGTCATCCACATTTCAGCGGTTTATATGTTAATCATTTTTGCGCGTGTTATCCAACTGAATCTCTTCTTGTGCTTCCGGCAACGATGGGACATTTTCTTGGCCTGACATTTGAATAGATAACCATTATAACTATGTTATTAAAGCGAAGATTGTATAGAATTTGATGTCCATTTATTTATTACTTCTCAAATGGCTGTAGGTCAAAAAGAGAGTAGAGAAATGGCTGCCGTGTTTATTAAGGGATCCAGAATGTTAAATTGTATCCAATGTCACAACTTTTGCTATTGATGAGAGGTGAGAGGTGAACAGTTGGAGCCCCTGTGTCACTGGAACTGATGGAAAATCCGAAATGTTATAATGTCACCAGAACAGAAGGTGATGGGAACGCTTCCATTGGGGGGCACTGCACTGGTGATGCTACCTCATCTTGGAAATCCTCTCACTTCCTGTTGAAAGTACAGAAGAGGAAGTGAAGGAAAATTAGAGGTGAGAGGTGAACAGTTGGAGCCCCTGTGTCACTGGAACTGATGGAAAATCCGAAATGTTATAATGTCACCAGAACAGAAGGTGATGGGAACGCTTCCATTGGGGGGCACTGCACTGGTGATGCTACCTCATATTAAATCCTCTCACTTCCTGTTTGAAAGTACAGAAGAGGAAGTGAAGGAAAATTATTAAAAAAAGAAGCAATAAAATACTGATGAGTTTTCTATTCCCCGCTCCATCCAAAATAAAAAAAAAGTTTAGACTTTAGATACCCTTTAAATCAGTCTTATTACAGTACTAAGTCTCTGCATTGAAAACGTGAGTTTCCTGCAATAAAGTGAACTTGTCATCATTCTTAGAGCTGAACAAAAACTACTAGAGACGGGGCTTTTAAGGTGTCATATCATGAATGGAATAAATACAATTACACAATAGCAAACATATCACATCTATCGATTACCTCTTGAAGGCTGGACCCATACTGTCATACTGTATGGATCTAAGGATGCAAATGATGAATATATAATACACCCAGTAATGGCGAAGTCCATTGACTTATGTATAGAATATGTCTGTGTGGTCCAGGGAGGCGTCTACGCTCGGGTATTAGAAATACGTTTTATGTAGGGAGCAATATGTTATTTGGTATTTGATGTGTGTTTTAAAATCGGTGTTTATCTTGTATATATTTTTAAATAAATATGTGATATGTTTGATACAATTGTGCAATTGTATTCATTCCATCCATGATACGACACCTCCTCCCGTTACCCTGAGGAGAACTATGGGGAAAAGCCTGAACCCCATAGTTCTCCTTTAAAAGCCCCATCTCTAGTAGTTTATGTTATGGAAATGTATATTTTAGGGGTGTGGTGTCCTATTTTTCTTGGTGGTCCATATTTTTATTTACATTTCTTAGAGCTGAACTTTAATCTGCTGATATTCACAAAGGTTGAACTTGATGGACCTGTGTCTTTTATTCAACCTCAAATACTATGTAACTATATTTTGCATCCCATGAAAACTGATGTAGCCGCCACATCTGGTGAACTGCAATATATGAAATGTTTGTTCTTGGGTTCAGATAATGACTGTTTTGTTGAATCTCTGCTGTGCCTCTGATTGTGGATCAATAACACTGAGATCCGTCTCTTCTCAGGACTACAGGAATCCTATACTGTCACCTGTGGAAAATCCAGACACCCCAAACCCAACGAGACCATCAGTGGAGGTAAAGCCGGGGAACCCATTTTATAAAATGTTATATTCACATGGATACATATCCGGGTCCTCTGTAGTGTAATGTGTGGTGTTGGCGACTTGTGAATCCATTTTGTTAGAAGAAAAGAATTTGAGAGCATTAAAGGAGAACTATGAGGGGGGGAGGTGCTTTTCACTCACCTCATAGTTCTAGCCGACCTGTGACAATGAGACTTTCACAGGTCGGCTCAGTAGATCGGGAGGTGAGCTAACTTCTTGACATGTCATGGCAGATAGCCGTGACAGGGGAGGGACTGGATTCCCCCCTCCCCGCTCCGATCCTCCAGCGCTGACTGGCGGAATGGACGGGGGAGGGGGCGGGTACAGCTGGCTCTGCCTCTAGATAGGCAGAGCCAGCTGTCACTTACGCAGCTGGGCGGATCCAGACATAATTGTCGGGATCCGTTTCAGCTGCGGCGTCTCAGTATACCGCGAGCAGCAGCTCCCTATGTACTGAGCCTAGGGTGACGGGAGGACGCTAGTTTGTGTCCTCCCGTTACCCTCAGGAGAACTATGGGGGAAAGCCCTGACCCCATAGTTCTCCTTTAAAAAGTGGCAACTAAATAAAAACAAGAGGAATCAGAAATCTCACAATGTGAAGAGATGGAGAGCGACACAGATGCGGGGGTCATTGAATATTTATTTTAAACGATGAGAGATCGCAAGAAGGGGGTTCAACACGTTTCGGGGGCTCAGCACTCCCCCCTTCATCAGGGCTTAGATGCTGAAAGTAAATTAGGAGAAGACGCAAGAACAAGTTTTAAACAAAGATAAAATCATCTTCATTCGTATTATATTTATATAGGGACCTTAGATTGTAAGCTCCTTGAGGGTAGGGACTGATGTGAATGTGCAACTATGTAAAGTGCTGTGTAAATTGTCGGCGCTCTATAAATACCTGTAATAAATAAATATAAGTAACATATAAATAATTGTACAGTTGAGTATATTGAGATGCAGGGAATTAATCTGTTCACTTTTCTGATGTCAGAAAGAATGA